AGACATAATAAAATAGCATGGTATGATAGCAGCGGACACCGTCGGAGTTAGCGCAATTCATTGTATCCAGTTTGCCTCATAATGCACTAGCCATATTATATTAATCATGACAACAGACAAACAATGAAAAGCGGCGAACTAGTTACAGCTTTGTATGATGGTCAACGACAGGGCCATATTTACACTTTTTCAAGTACAATATTTGTTCGCCCCCCCCCCAAAAAAAAAAAATTAATTAGAACTTAGATTCTGAGTGGAAAGATGAATGTATTGATTTTACAATGATGTGTGTTTTTTTATTTTTTATTTTTCGTCTGTGTACACGATAAGTAGTGTAAATAATGCTTCGATTCTCAACTTCAGTAGGTAGCCAGGTAGGTATCTTGTTCGATGGAAAAGAGAATATTGTTGAAGCATTGGGGAGGTTAAAATTCCCGATAGTTTTCAAAAACGACGGGAAAACAGGAATTTTTACAAAAAGTACGGATTTTTTTTTTGGTTTTTGGTGTAACTCTAAAACAAATGAACTTACATACATCAAATTTTCACTTAATATTTGCATTTTTTATAAGTGATAAAATTTTCAAAGATTTTGATTTGTTTTGAACTGTTTAGGAACATTTTCTGTTTCCAATTTTATAAGTCTTTTTTTCTATGAATGTCGATAAAACCTTATTTGTTGAGTAAAAAAGCGTGAAAATTTAATGCAAGGCTCCAGTGGCGCCAAAATATATATTTACGTATGACAATTGTCATAGATGATTTTAGTAGGTAAGGGGTCACCTTTGTCATCCTATAGTTATTTTATGAAAATTTGTTTAATAGACAACATAAAAACTAAACTTGGTGTATGGTAAGGTAATTATAAGAAACCTGTGGGTGTCAACATTTTATGTGGAGGTGTTTAATGTCATTGGTAAAATTTCGGCGCCACTGCAAGGCTCCTGATATATTATTATAAATTTATTATATAAAGTTGAATAGTAGAAGGCATTAAGTATATTTAGTAATTTTGCTGCATAGGGACCAAGCTGCCCTCATGTAATGGTTATACATGGGAAAAAAAAGTATAGGTATTTAGTAATATCATAGGCTGACTGACCATTTTTTCTCAGAATCGTTTTTCTTATAGGTACAATGTATATTATATATATTATCATTATATTATATCATTGAATTCAAATTTAACACCATCCATTACAGTGACCCACTTGTAACCTACTGTACAGCAGAGCGATATCCACTTACCCACTTTTTTAATTGTTTAGTTATGGTTCTTTATTTATGAAAATGTTGTTAAGAACACAGATCATGATGATAAATTATTTCAATTATTGTCAAAATGTATGACAACATACAAATGTAGGTAATCTATAAAAAAAATTAATAGTTACCTACCTATTATTGATTGACAAAATGAGTAAATGACGCCAAATGGCCGTATCTTAAACATTCAATGCAAGAAGTCCAATTATAGGTACTCAAACAAATTCTTACTAAAAAAAAAAATGTTATTTATATAATATACACCGGCGCCTGGCCGCCCCCTAAATGTGTCAAAAATTGGAGGCCCGGGGCAAATGTCCCCGTTGCCCCCCCTTAAATACGGCCCTGGTCGACGAGGTGAGAGGTATGTGTGCCAATACCATTTTTTTTTAAATTTTGATATGATTTTCATACATGTAGGACAATAAATGGGAAATACAATATAGGTGATTGAGTAACTACTGCTAAAAACTATAAAAAAAGTAAATGCGAAGATGCCCTCCATGATTTTGTGGTAGACGGTAGTGTAGTACTTTCATTACAATACCTACTCTTAAAAATGTTGTTTTACACTTCAATGCCACTAGGACTAGGCAGTAGGCACTATTATAAGAATAGTAACTACAAGACAATTGTATTTTAATAATAAATAAAGGTACAATAGATGTAAGTTTTTAATAATAATATTGCTTTAATAATACTATAAATATATTTATAACCAAATAGACAATATAATATAATATTATAATATAATATACTATTTTATACTAATAAAAATCATTAGTGTATTGTCTAGAGAACTCAAATAGGTTTAAATGTTTAAACAAAGATCTTAAAAATTATCAATTGATTCAATTAATAATTTTTAATTTACAACATTTTTATTTTGTTACTGATTCGTCTTAAAAAATTGTATACATTATAATTAAATATTTTGTAATAAATAATAATATTAATCTAAGTTTAAGTTTCAACATAATATATTAGCTAATTATTTTATAGGTATCTATAATATACCCATACTAATGGCTAAATATATAGCCATATACTATTTATATATATATATATATATTTAGCTATGCACATTTTTAAAAGTATAAAATCCTATGAACAATATAAATATACAAAAGTAATTTGGGTAACTCAAAAAAATTGTACCTATCAGTTCAACTACCTCAGATATAATATAATTAGATATTAGATATACCTACAGGCTACAGCACCTACCTACTTACATAGAGGTATTTTAAAATTAGTTTAATTAAAATCATATTTTATAATTTTCATACCTATTTTGGAGAACAAAAATAGTATTGATTACACATTTACACCCTACTTGTAAAGTTGTAAAAGTAAAACACATTGTAAGTTACAATTATTTAAAACTAAAATCAACGTCTTATATTATAAGGTGTAGTAATAAAAATTAAAAACTAATACATTTTTGATTTATGTTGCGTTAATTTCTGTGTAGGTATCGTGGTGGGGTCTAGCGATAGAGAGGTTGCAGTTATATAATATTAATATATTACAGTGGTGACACGTGCCTAGGTGTGCAGGTAATATTAACACCACATACATTTATATAGATATAATAGTAAAAATGTATTTTAATTTTAATTCAATATCAGTTAAAAGTTAAACAGTATAATTCTATAACAGAAAATTCAATTTTAAAAACATTTGATATTCGCTTAAACATGACAGTTATTAATAATTATTAGTCTATGGTCAGAACACCGAAGGTCCGTGTAAATACGTACGGTAGTTGAGTTGTAGGGGCTAGCAAATAAAAGGGACCTAGGTGTGCAGATTGCTGTAGCAATATCACCGTATTATCATTATTTTCTTAACTCCACCAGTACCTATTTTATATATATTTTTTTTTCATTCAAAAATTTGAATTCGGAGTACTATTTACTTTAAACATCAAGAGTCACCACTGTGTTCATCACCAAATATTTTACCCACGAGCCGCCACTGATGACTGATACTGATGTATTATACAGATATATTTCAAAAGTATTGTAAAATCGAAAAATTCTTGTACGCAATGTAGGTACCTACTCGTGTCGTGTATGTACCGTGTACGTTGTACACCAAGAGCAGCGCACTCACGATGAAACTACAGTAGTGCTTCTCGTCTATAATAGTAGGTAGTTAGGTAGTACCTTTGAGTTTGCTACCGGATATGAGGTAGGTATATAATATATTTATATAATATACCTACATATATTAAGAATATAATGATATATTATTATTTATCAGGAAAACTTTTGTCAATTTATTCTAAAAAAAAAAGGTAAGGATAATATAATAATCACAAGAAAATTGTGATCCAATGCATATAAATCACTTTATTTTTAAAATGTTCTGATACATAACAGGGAGATCTGCAGCCCCTTCAGTCGCCCCCATAAAAACGCTAATAAATCTATCAGCTACCTATCTACTTACATAATCATTTCTTCTGTAACTATCTACATTGAACTGCACACAGTTATGCGTCTGGCTTAAAATGGAATGAGGTTTAGGCATGTGGTACCAGGTACCTATAGACTTTACCCCCCACCCACATCGGTATTTTTACTATATGTATACTGTTAAGATGTATAGGTACGAATTAATAAAATTAAAATAATATTTTGATTTACGTATTATAATTTTTTTATACACGCATATACCTAACCCCTCCCATTGAAAATATCTGTGTACGCCACTGTCATTTATATTTTATAGGGGTGCCATTGTTTTTATAAAATTGATTGAATAGAGTAGGATGAGCCATGAATATATTTCGGGATAAACGGTCACTTTGTAGGGTCCATTGTTGAAAATGCATAACGCGGACACTTCAGGTAAAAATGTACATTGCAATTTGCAGAACCCAGACACTGTACTATTATATAAATAAAAAGTATAGGAAACCTATGTTATATTGTAAATATATAAGTATATATAATATAAAGTTTGATGAGATTTAAACATTATTTTATTTATTTTATATTTGAAAGTAAATTAAAGATATTATAAATAAGCCAAAATAATCAAAGTTTCTAAAATGTACAGGTAGGTAACAACCAATTATTGGGTAGATACTTGATGCTTTAATATATTTATAAATTAATTTTACCAAATTAGATATTATACCAAATGGTATTTAAACTTAATAACATTTTTAATTTAATTGGTCATGACTATTTAGACTTTTTTATATTATACCTAAATATTATGTAGTAATATAGGTAATATTATATATATACATATAGGTACTATAGAACAAAATGTCCTCGTTCTGCAATCTTCATTTTTACTCGATCTTACAATAATTGTCCATGTTTTGCACTTTGAATGTTCGACTGTACAAAGTGACCTATCTATATAGTATGTAACCACATTTTGGGTGAGTATGGACTATACACTTAACTTAAAAGTATGTACTTAACTTAAATCGTGGTAAGAGATGGCATTATTAAATCCTAGTTTCAGCGGATCTTGTGGGTGAGCGTATACTGTATATTAGGTAGGTATGTATGATGTATCGGTGCTACGCATGCAGTTCAATGTTTGATGTTTCTATATAAATATAGTTTTAGGTATAGGTACCTACGTATTTTATACTGTTCAATGGATAATTAACATTACGAATATCCACGTAAATATGTAGATATATTATAGATGTATAGACACAACTTAATACACGTGTTTTATGGTGTCTTCGAGTTTATTGTGACTTAGGTATTTTTGTCTTTGTACGTTCTTTTGTAAAATATTAAAAATAAGTACAAAAATAAAAGTACGTCAAATATCATGTAAATGGTGAATAGTCTCGGAAATTTACAATCGTAAATAAAAAGGCTTGTACCATAGATAAGGCCTATTATGAATTGGATCTGAAAACCAAACGATACATATTATTCACTAAACGTCCTAGGTATAGAATAATAGCTTTAATAGGCGCAAATCGTCGATAAGTATAAAATAGTCAGGTAACTGGTAAGATGTTCCATATTGGGGTATAGGATAAGTCCCCACACGTAAAAATAGCACATAAACGGTTACATATTATCACATACAATTATGGGAAATATAACAAGAAAAAAATGTTACTTAAAATTTGTTTGTTTTTGTGTTGCATAAAAAAGTCTTAGATATACTTGTCCGACACATTATGCAATGATGTATTTTGAGTTATTAAATTGTAATTAACTAATAACTATTATTTTTTTTTACGATTTTCTTGAACGATAGGTTAGGTGTACTGCGTATTAATCACGATTTAAGATATAAGTATATCTTAAATCGTGGTATTAATATATAGTTTACATATATCTATTCAATTTGAATAGTTTGTAGGTTTATACAATGATATAGGTATCTACTCCGACGATTTGCACCTATAGGTATGCTATGCATTGTTAATAACAATATGATACTGATGATTTTTACTTACAATTTGTAAACGCGTCAAGTATTTTTTCCACCACAAATATTTTTGCATTTGAGGACCAAGAGCCGATAGGAAATAGTAGCTATACATTATTGAATGTATCGTCGCGTTAAGAATACCAACAAGAGCACCTTGTTGACCTGCGTAAACATAATTTTTGTATTAGTTTGTTGATTGTTTTTTTTGTTTTGTTACCTATCGCAGTAACACAGTCATATAGGTACCATATGTGGATTCCTATACGTTTTATTTCACATGCAAGCTACCTATTATAAAGTATAAAAACTACTGTTTCAAATTTGATCCCCCAGTGCTCAGCTTAATTCTATAACAATGTTTGTATTATACATAATTTACGATAGGTATGAGGTACCTATGTCGATAGGCTATAAGGTAGGCAGTTTTGCAAAGGCACATATAAAATGGACCCTAATGATAAAATAATTTTGACATGGTGTACGGTAAATAGGTATAATATTTGTAGGATTTTAAAAATTGAATTATAGAATAAGGTAGGTATAACAAATAACATATCTGTAAAAATCTCATTATTGACTGTAATGAATGGGCTTGAAACTGAATATTGTTACTTCCATTTGCCTCCAATCATTTCAAGATATAAAAAATATCTTACCTATTGATTTTATTTTATTTAATCAAATAATTTTTTATTATTAAAAATAAATAGGTCCTGATAGCCTATAATATAAGGTATTTTAGTATTTATATAATAACAGCATAACTCTGTCGGTTGTAATGTGTTATCTGTTATTATGACCTATTTTTTCTGGTCCCTCGAACGTCATAATTATAAAGTAGTCATAATTATAAGGTAGGTACCTATAAGAAGTTTTAAGGATTACCTTTAATAAATCTCAAAAAGGTCCAAGTAGTGACGACCATATTTACATGATGATAAACGTGTAAAAATGAAACATGAGATTGTTTTTTCCTTAACACAAAGAATACCTAAAATCAAACATAATATTTATTAAATAATTAATTTCCAAATATTTTATAAAGTTTATTTTATAATAATATTATAGGAAATATTATATAGTTCGTATGTATGTAATATCTATCTATCTATATATATATATATATTATGTTTATGCATAAGTATAATATTGTATATTGTACATTGTATATTTGCATACTGGTAGGTATACAGCTATAGATAATAATAATAATAATGACTATTATACCAACATTTTAAATTGAATATAACCAATATTGCTTTAAAATGTACTTGATTTTTGAAAAAAATTTAATATATTTTTAATTCAATATTAATTATACATGCAAAAACTTATATTATTTGAATTGATTTTAAGGTGATTTATCGTGAAGGTATGAACAATATTATTTTAGTTTAAAACTTTAAAAGTAGGTACTTACAGTATCCAGAAGATCAAATATTTTTGATATAAAATAATGCCACGACTGTGCATAGAACTGAAAATAAAATGTGTAATTATTATACAAATAAGGTAGGTACCTAGTCATTTTAAATTAACAATTGAAAACTAAAACTTTCATGATATCATATTTTTTCAGATTAAATGACATGAAATATAAAATATATATTATAATATATTATAACTATATTAATTATAATGAACCATGACGCGTTATATTTCTGTTCTTTCTTTATACAAATTGAATGGTAAATTTATTTAAATAATAGATATTATGAATAAAAAAAAATGAATTACCTATAATTATGATTTTTTATTAATAACATCTTAATTTATTCACATTTATCTTACCAAATTTATGATACGGTGATTACTTTCACTTTCATCTGGATTACATATATTGACCATTAAATATCTGTATATCCCGGGTGTAAGAAATACCTGTAATTTAAAGTTTAAAGTTAATTTACGAGGATACTTTGTCATATCGTATAGTTAGTTATCAATATTCATAAAAGGAAATGTGTGTGGTTGGGAGTTTGTGTATAAGACGTAAGCCTTATCTTCAGCCAAGTCTATTTCACACTCCTATGAGTTCAGAAACGTTATAGGTACCTACGTAAGTTAATCTTATATTCGATGATGTGCAACTCAAAGCCATTTTTCCGAATTTCGTATTTTAAATAGAGGCTTACACAGATATTCAGTGGCGTCCACAGGATTTTTCAATGGGGGGGGGGGGGCTTGAAAATTTGTTACAATTTTATTTTTATTCTGTCCAGTATAATAATTTATTGCAGAGGTTTATTTGGGGTATTTTAAAATGTTTGTAACTTTTCAACTTTTCTGGTAGAAAAAATGCTCTGATCATAAGCTTCGATGCCCGGTGTATGTTTTTGGAAGCAAATTGGATCTAGTTGGTACTTTTAGGAGGTCGAAATTGAAAATGCTCACTGATTTTTAGCTTCAGCTCGTTTTGAATACCGGAGACTAGATGGGAGTACTTGACACACATTATATGACAAGCTTAACCGCCAGAACTTATATAATGATTTATTTATTTATTTATTTGGCTATTGTACTATGATATGTATTTCCTAATCAGTTAGATACCTATGCGATTGAAAAAATTATTGACAATAATTGAATGCGATTTCACATGCATGGATTTCATTCACTATCTCGTATATCGGTATATATTACGATTACAATGTATTAAACTTACCTCTGATATAATGAATAGGTTATAAATGGTTTGTACAATGTTATAAACCATCATAATACGTTTTATTTTAAACGGTTCCCGGTTTTCCATCATCTTTGGGCCTAATTTTAGCACAAATAACATATAAGCTATCAGAATCGATACAACTGGCCATGGTGTACTCATAAGCATCCACGAATCGGCCTTTTTATCTATAAAACAAAAATATATTATACAACATTAAAAGGCAAATGTTAATAATTTTAATTTATGTTTGTGTTATTATATTTTAAAAACAGTACCTAATTTCAGGTAAGACACTATTATTGTAACATTGCATTTTACAGGGGTTAATAATACAGTAAATAACGTGGGCTCCTATAGGCTATAAAAATGTTAATAATTTGTATAGATTGTGAAAAAATGAATATGATATAAAAAATAATTAAAAGAAAGTATAATATACGTTATAGCTAACATATAAGACGTACTTATATAGTATATACTAACCAAATTTCAATTCTTGATTTAATAAGTTTAAAAATTGATGCTGCGTTTCATTAATGAAATTATTCAAATTCACATTAGTCATATTTGTAATTGATTTGATCAATTGAGTATTCACTAAAACAAAAACATAATCATAATTCATAACAGTTAGTAATAAACCTTCTATAGCTATATAAGTAATATATTTAAATCACTTAATATAGGTACTTATTTAGGTACCTACTATATTTTTATAGATTAAAATGTATTTAAGACTGGCTGTAGTTATAGGTCCCAAGTCAATTTACGTCTTGTGATATTTATTTTATTTTATTTTTTAACCTTACAATTATTCCAATATTTCAATTAGTATGAGAATCAAACTAAAAATGTATTACTTTATATTAAATATTTAAATATTTTATGAGATAGCGTTAATTTAGTTCTTAACATGTAGGATAGATTAGGTTAGTAACCGAAGTAACTGAATGAGAACTGGTGAGAAAAAATCATTTCTGGTTACTGTGGCTAGGGTTAGTCACCTTAATTGTATAATTGGGGTTTAAAGGTTGTGGTTTATGTATAAATCATAAAATATGTATAAGTAATGGTTATGATATGTATAATTTATATTTTATAAAATATTTAAGCAAGGAGGCCACTAATTTACTCTGGGTAGGTATTGTTATAATACAAACATGTTCTAAGTAGTTATTATTATTTATTATTATTTTTTTAAAGTTTAAATTATAAGATTTTTATTTTAGTACCTATAGGTAACATTATTTAAATTCGGTAATTGTATATAATATAAGAAACTAACATTTAAATATTTAACCATAATATGTACACTGAATTTGTGATTATATCATTTTTAATGGAGATAAAAATTAGACTTAAATATCTAGTGATACTACTGATACTATTTTATAATTAATTATAAATAATAATTATTATAGTATATGGTTGTAAAATTTTAAATATAATAATCAAAATATTCTTAAACTAAACTGAAAAATATACCTAAAAATAAATAAATATTATACTTTTATAAAATGCGTTACCTAAAATATCACGTGAACAGCTGATCTGCTGATGTAGGTATAGTTTTATTAAAAACTATATAAGTCTTATAATGACAATTAAGTAAAATAATGTATTTTCATGTCTTCACTGTTGAGTTCTCGACCAGTCTCGTAATTTCGTCAATACTTTTAAGTAAAAATATAAAATGATTTAAGGTACTGAAAAATAATCCAACAATAAAAAATAAAAAATAAAAATTAGTATTTAGCGATTTTAGGTGGCTACTTAAGTACTAATGTTAAACATTTTAAGAATGAATGAATTTAACATACGTTAAGGTTTTCATTTTAAGTATGTTTCAAATAAATATATTAATGTTTTTTTAATTACGACCTTTCTATAGAATTTGTGTGATGGTATGGGAAATGGTGGACATATGTTTAGATATTAATTTAAGTAACCCACTCTTAGGTACTTCCAAGGTAAACAGCAATACAATTTACACCAAGAAAATATCACTGATAGCAGAGTAAGAGAGTACTTATAATCACAAGAACAAACAAAAACCCTGTTTTTCCTAAAAGTGGTGATCTTCACACATCTGCACGTTAGTGAAAAACTGAAGGAATTTTCTTATTCGATTATAAGCTGTTTTAAATAAATGCTTTTCACAAACAATGCACTTTCAAGTGTAAAATCGTTTATGATGATTTATTGCAAATAAAAAAATGGTGTGTACAAATCGATACAATATTTTAAGGGTACCTGTACATTTTATATCCTACAAATGTGATGCAATGATGCTCAAACGCTTCTGAGTTATTTCAATTTAAATGTTGATACCAACAACTTTAATATATTTATAGGTACCTAAACATAAAATAATATTTCTATATTACCTTGTACCTACGTAGGTACTTGATACACATTTTATAAAATTTTACATTTAAATATATTATACTAAAAAATAAAAATTTTAGCTGACAAACTTCTTCATTTTTTAGATTCTGAGCTTAGCGAATTGTGCATACGGGAGGTCCGAATAGAAAATTACCAGTAGTTTTAGAAATCCTCGGGAAAAACAAAATAAAAAGTGAAAAAAATGGTAATGTTTTTGGTTCAAAAACTCAAAAACTAATGTTTGTAGACATTTGAAATTTTCACCAAATATTTATATTAGCATTTATCATATTAATATTTTTGAAATATTTTGATTTAAAAAAGCTTCAATTTTTTATGTAAGATTTCTCATAAGTTTTTTTAATGGAAGTTCAAAAATGTTAAAGATACTATATTATTTATAATATGCATTTAAAGTACAAATTTTGACAAAATTCATCAAAATTTCAAATTATTTTTCATAATTTCACTCATTTTTGATATTTTGTTGTATTTCCAAAACGAATAACTCGAAATTTTCATGATATGTTAAAATAACCATTTATCATAAAAAGGAAAATGTTCAAACTATTTTTAAATTATAGTCGATAAATACTTTTTCATTTAATAAAAAATCTTGAAAGTTTAATACAAGGTTTTTTCTTTTTAATAATAATTTATAATTATTACAATTTGTTTAATTACACCTACTAGCTTTAAATAATAACGTTTAAAAAATAAATATTTCAAATTAATCATTTAACTTGGAAACTAAAATATTTCAAGGATTCCAATATCATTAATCGGTGTCTGATAATAATGGTGAATTAATTGATTTTTGCTGTTTACTTATAATAGAGCATTTAAGCGTCGAGACGTTGTTAAATTATACATTTGAAATATTTTATGGTGAACATCTTTATACGATGTAATACTTACTAAACAGTCAACTTACTATGAAAATGAAATAAATTCAATATTTCTTTTATTAAAAGCTGGAAATTGTGCAAAATACATGCAATTGTTTTAATAAACATAGAATGGCATTTACAACACAATATACTATGTACCTAAATACACATTAAAAAAGGTGGACACCGGTCTGCTGTACAGTAGGTAGTTGTCGCGTATGTCATTGTAAATGTAATGGATGTGTTATATTTACATTCATTAATAAATCATTGATCAAAATTTTACGTTCGTTGTTTAAATATTTAATACTAAGCTAACTATTAATATTATGAAAATCTATTTGACAATGAATTAAATACTCGTTTGAAAGTTTGAAATGTATTGCAAATGTATAAAAATTAAAAAACGTGGACAAGTGGGTACCACTTTGCTGTACAGTTATTATGGTATGTTATATTTGAATTCAATAATAAATCATTGCATATGAAAAACGATTCTGAGTGGATATGTTGTGTCATTCTAGCATACTTGTGTAAATAATCAAATTTAATAATTAAAAAAAAAAATTAATATAATCGAAAATATCTTATGGCTAAAATAGCTTAATTTTCCTGTAAACTTGTTCTTTTTGAAAGAGGAAGAAAAACTTTTATGAATTTTTAACTGAAAAATAGTTTACAAATTTTCGGGATATTAATGAATTTTGTCAAAATTTTAAATTTATGTATTTTTAATATTTTTGAACCACTATCAAGCCATCTTATGAGGATCCAATCTTGCGTTAAATTTTGCAAGCTTCTTTACGTATTGAATAAGCTTTTATCGACAATAATTTAAAAAAACTTACAAAGTGGAAAAATTTCTCAAGGCTATAAATAGCTCAATCATTGGGCTTGATATTAATTTTTAAATAACATCAAACAAATAAAAAATATTTTTTCAAAAAATTGGTTTTGAGTAAAAATGACAATATTTTTTTATGTTTTTCACGATGATATTTTTGAAAACTATTTGTAATTTTCAATTTTGAACTCTTAAAAGTACTAAAATAGATTCACTTTTCTATCAAAAAAGATGCTGCTTTAAAACATCAGGATCCTGGTAGATATAAAATATACTATACAATTATACAAATATTTGCGGACGAATGGTTCTTAGGATGGAAGTATGTAAATATGTCTTCCACCAAACGATTTTCAATATATACAACTCACGATAAAATATATTTAATTATTATCATTTCATTTTTATTCATGGGTATAGTAGCGAACACATATATTTTCTATGGGAAGTGTTAAACTAAGAAATTATATATATTGTATCAACATATTTTTTAAATTGTATTAATTGTCATACATCTATACATAGCTGATATTGTAACTACCAAGTTATACCCTTTTCCCTGTGTGCACTCTACTGCATGGAGTTTACTGAAGTATCTGAATGCAATATTATAATAAAACAGATATTTATCTAAATCTTTTTTTGATAGAATACAATCCACAGATACCTAGTTGTTTTTCAAAGCAGGACATTTCAGACGTATAATGGACGTACTCACAAGAAGCTTAATGTAAGTATATTTCTGGGGCTTGTGTCAAAAAGGGTCAATCTCACTTTTAATTTTATTTTATTTTATTTAAACAAAAAAGGGCCTATGATCACATACGCCCCATAGATTTTGTAATTTTCATGACAATCATTAGTGCGAGATATGAGAAGGCCAATGTCATGAAAATTACAAAATCTATGGGGCATATGTGATCATCGGCCCCTTTTTGTTTAAATTAAATAATATTAAATTAAAAGTGAGATTGGTCCTTTTTGACCCAAGCCTCAGATTTGATTGAAGAAGTGTTACCTACTTATTTAAATTGTTGAACTAATGAGTTAATAGTGAGCAGTAAGTATATAAGGTTCAAGTATTGTTTTTATATTGCCATCAGGTTACTGGTTAGACACGCTGATGTAGTGATGTACAAATATTACGGATAGAATATGTTTGAGATGTGAACTTCTAATGTTATAAATTAGCATTACCTAGCAGTTAAGTTTGCAAACCACTTTATATCAAATATCGTAAAAAATAAATGTTACTTTTTGGTGAACTTTTTTTGTTTGTTTAAGGTAGAAAAGAAAAACTTGTTGGGAATCTTCTGTTTTCGACGGGAATATACAGAACAAAATTTCGGTTTTTTTGGTTTTCGACTAATTAAATGTATCTTATTCTCAAAGAAAACCCTAAATGATTACTGGCAATTGATCAAAACTTTGGGCCTCATATAG